GGCTATAAGTATTAACAATATCATCATTTCCAATCCAGAGATATATATTCCGATGCAGTACCTATGTTCCATAAATGGTTTTGGATACATTTCCACTATTCCTCCTCCATGCCACGATACAGTGTTATTAGCTCGAGCAGTTATAAATCCATTGCCATCCTTACTCTAACTTAATTCTTTTTTACAAAATATATTTAAATGATACATAAACTCAATTTGGAGGCAATATCATGCAGTCATTGAGGAACAGGTTCTGAACTTGGACCTTGATTCTTATGGTTATTTTCCATATGTAGAAATACATGTTGTGTAGATTAGCTGAATTAGGGTTAAGGGAACAGGTCGTTTTGTGCTGCCACGTTGGAATTGACTCAGAATTGACCTTTCAGCCATTTTTCAGAGGGTGGGACTCACGTGGGAGGTGACTGCTTATCTTGCTCTAGAGGAGCAGCTGGTGGATTTGTCTTTGGGTTGACAATGCAACTCCTTACCACAACATATGTTAGCCATTATTTTATTCCAAACATCTTTAATTCTTTTAGGATAAAATCTACCTTTACCATCCCTGTATGTCCTAAGTGATCTGTTTTCCCCATTTCTCTTGGCACCTTCAAGGAATAAAAAGCAGGCAGGCCAGTGTAGCCAAAGTAAGTGAACAAGTGTAGTGAATAAGGAGGAAAGAACGAGATGATGAGAATACAGGCTGATAGCTATTTCTTATTTATAGTATCGGTATTGTTCTGATCCTTTGCATGAATAACCTAATTGAATCTTCATAACTACTCAAGGGAGTATGTACTTACTCTCCTCACTGGATGGGATAACCTGAATAAAGGCCTAGAAAAGTGAGCGAGGGAAGGAAGATATTTAGTGACTAATATATCTCAGACACTCTATTAGGACTTTTACCTTACTCTTAAAAACCATCTTGTAAGGTAGGAATTCTTAGCCTGGTGAATGACAACTCAGAAGACAGTCTGTAAAGTCTCTCATTGCTATTAAGTTGGCACTGACAAACAGCTGATGCTCCATTGGGTTTTCAGAGGCTGTAAGTCAAGGAGGAGATTGCCCATCTTTCTCCTACATAGCAGCTGGTGACTGCAGACTGCTATTCTGCAAAGTAGGTATTTTGTTTGTATGGATAAGAAACTGAAGTTCAACAGTTGAGGTGCTAATAACTGGCAGGATTAGGATTTGAATGCAGGTCTGACTCCAAAGCATATTTTCCATAGTGGAACATTCACTTCTTAGCAGGCAGGATATGTTTTGTCTTTTCCCACTGCAGATGAGAAGAGACCATTAGAAAAATGTGCCAAAACTGAGAATCTAGATGGTGCATCAGCTAAAACAGAGGACAGCCCTGAGAAGGTATCAGCTTCTAATTTTGGAAAGAATCCAAGCAGCCACTGGCTAATGAAGTCAGAGCCAGAAAGCAGACTAGAGAAAGGAGTAGATGTGAAGGTGAGACCATGTATCTGTTTCTAATGCCAATACATTTCTTTCTACACAGTATGAAATCCTTAAGGTTCCATCTCCAGGTGCTTATTTTTGAAGATTGGGTAAAAGAAATTAATAGAGTCAAGATTTGTTACTATCAACTACATGTTCTGTGTAGGGTGGTGGTGGTTGTTATGTGCTGTCAAGTCAGAAAAACCTATAGCTGACCCTCCAGGTAGTTTTGAGGCAGTAACTCACTTGGAGGGTTGTTGTCATGTGCTGTCAAGTTGCCTGGGACTCATAGTGACGCTATGCACAACAACTTTGAACCCTTTCTACCTTGACCATTTCTCTATGACACACCTACCCCCATTACCTCCGTCACTGAGTCAATCTATCTCCAGGATCATCTTCTCTTCCTCAGTCCCTCTACCCTTCCAAGCATGATGTCCTTTTCCAAGGACTGATCCCTTCTGGCAGCATGGACAAAATATGTCAGATAGAGCTTCAAAATCCTTTCCTCCAAGGAGCAACTTGGTTTTACCCTCTCTGGGACATATCTGTTTGTTCTCTTGGCAGTCCATGGTATGTTCAGTACTCTTCTCCAGCACATAAATCAAAGGAATCAATGCTTTCATCATTCTTTGTCATTTTCCAGTTTTTTGATGCATAGCAAGTAATTGCAAAGACCATGGCTTGGATCAGGTACACCTTAAGTCTCCAGACTGAAAATGTTGTTCATCAGTACTCTGGAGATGTCCCTGACAGAAAATTTTGGAAAATTATTTCTAAAATGGGACAGATAGTATATATTTTAGGCTTGTGGGACTTACAGTCTTTGCAGCTACTCACTTAATACCATTTTAGCAAGGAAACATAATTGTTATTGTTCTGTGCCATTGAGTTGCCTGTGATTCATACTGACCGTATGCACAATAGCTCTGAACCCAGTCTTATCTTGAACAAGTCTGTCTCTGATACACCTAACCCTATTATCCCACTTACTATGTCAATCCATCTCATCCATGGTCTTCTTATCTTGCACTGTTGCTCAGCCCTTCTAAGCATGATATCCTTTTCCAATGACTGGTCCCTCCTGGAAACATGCCCAAAGGATGTGAGACAGAGCTTCAAAATCCTTGCCTCTGAGGAGCAACGTGGTTTCACCCTCTCCAGGACAAACTTGTTTGTTCTCTTGGTAATCCATGGAATGTTCAACAGTCTTCTGCAGCACCACAACTCAAAGACACCAAATCTTATTCTGTCATCCTTAGTCACTGTCTCGCTGTCTTGATGCATAACAAGTAATTGCAAAGACCTTGGCTTGGATCACGTGCACCTTTGTCTCCAGACTGACACAGTTGCTCTTTAGCACTCTGGAGAGATCCCTCAGAGCAGCCTTACCCAGTGCACTTCATCTCTTGATTTCTTGACAGCTGGTGCCAAGAGTGTTGATTGGGGAACCAAGCAAGCTGAAGTTATCAACAATCTTAATCTTTTGTCTATCATTAAGTTGCCAATTGGCCTGGTGATGAGAATCTGTCTTCTTAATGTTGAGCTTCAATCTATATTGAAGAGTAGTCCTTGACCTTCTGCAGCAAATGCTTCAGGCATGTAGGCACTCCTCATTTTCTGCATGCAAGGTTTTATCATCAGCATAACATGGGTTGTTGATGAGTCTTCCTCTAATTCTTATGTCACACTCCTCATAAAGCCCCGCCTCCTGAATGATCTGTTTTGATTTGCCTTTGATTTGTGGTGCTGGAGAAGAGTACTGACTATACTGTGGACCACCAAGAAAACAAACAGGCTTGTCCTGGAGAGAGTGAAACCAAGTTGTTCCTTGGAGGCAAGGATTCTGAAGCTCCACCTGACATACTTTGGCCATGTTGCCAGGAGGGACCAGTCCTTGGAAAAGGACATCATGCTTGGAAGGGTGGAGGGACAGCATAGGAGAGGAACACCCTGGATGAGATAGATTGACTCAGTGACTGCAGTAATGGCGGTAGGTCTGTTGGAGATGATGAGATTGGCTCAGGATAGGGGGCAGGGTTCAGAGCTATCGTATATAGGGTTGCTATAAATTGCCAGCAACTCTTTGGCACATAACAAGAACATATAAGTAGTTCTGTGGCATTCTTCTTAATAAACTACTTAAACTTACCATAGTAATAGCACTTTTTGGTGTGTGGAGGGCACTAGATGTTTCCATGTATGCTTGCCAACTTGTCAAGGATTATTTAATGAATGACTGTTTCCTGTTGGTAGTTTGGAATTGAGGATCTCAAAGAACAGCCCAATCAGACAACATGCTGGGATGGTGTTCGAAACTACCAGGTAAGAGCCAGGATATCCACAGCTCAGAGTAGGATAATGCCTGCTGCTTGACTTACTAAGTAGCAGAACCTTTGGCCTACAGTGCTTTCTCTGTGAGCCCAAACTTAAAAAATGTGTTTAATTATACCTCAGTTACTCTGAATACCTGGCATTTGCAAATGGCCCATGTACAAGCTGATGTCCTGGTACAAATCTAAGTATTTGGAAACGGAGATAGATTTTAATAAATTGTAGGAAGGTTCAAGTTAATAACTCATCTAATAAAAATGGACTTATGGACTTAATTTCTTCTGAAAGTGAGTGGGAGGGTATTTCTAACTTCTTCTTCCCTGGAGCAGGCCCGGAACTTCCTTAGAGCCATGAAGCTGGAAGAGGAGGCTTTCTTCTACCATAGCAACTGCAAAGAGCCAGGCATTGCAGGACTTATGAAGGTGAGCTGGACAGTTTGTTTGAATCCGTTCTCCTTCTAAGGAGAATTCTTCATCTGCTGATAGAGGAGCAGTTTAAATAGGTAACAAAAAAAGCAACACTCACCTGTAGGCCCTCTGGACTCTCCTATAAAATAGGAACTCGAGCCAGCGAGGCCTTCATTTCAGCCACACACACAGATTTTTCTGTTGTGAGTCTTGGTCTCTTACTCAAAACCAGGCCTCATAGGAGTGCCTCCAAGCCAATTAGCAGGATGAAATAATTAACTGTACAAGTAAAACAGAACACAAAACAGGGGCACCAATGATAGTATTGTTGTTGTTGTTATGTGCCATCGAGTCGTTTGCGACTCATAATGACCAATGTGCAAGAGCCCTAAACGTCCTTCTATCCTGTGTCAACCTCGCCATTTCAAACACATTCATTCCCACCACTCCACTCACAGAATCGATCCATCTCATCGAAGGTCTTCCTCTCCTGCGCCGTCCCTCCACCTTCCCAAACATGATGTCCCTCTCCCAGGACCAGTCCCTCCTTGCAACATGCCCGAAGTATGTCACACGAAGCTTCACAATCGTTGGCTCCAGGGAACATTCTGGCTTCACCCTCTCCAGGACAAACCTGTTTGTTCTCCTAGCAGCCCATGGTATATTCAACACTCTTCTGCAGCTCTACAGTTCAAAGGCATCAATTCTCTATCATCCCTATTCACTCTCCAATGCATAGCATGTAATTGCAAAGACTATAGCCTGGATCAGGTGCAGCTTAGTCTCCAGCCTGATGTCGTTGCTCTTCAGTACTCTTGAGAGGTCCCTCACAGCTGACTTTCCCAATGCAATTCGTCTCCTGATTTCCTGGCTTCTGTTACCAAAAGTGTTAACTACTATAATTCTAATTAAAAGTAGACTTTCAGGACTTAGAAAAACAGGGTTGTTCCCTACTCATAGTCATCGCACTGGAACTATCTCCTAGCTTATGTTCTATCGGGTTTCCGAGAATAAATCATAAAGGGAGAATATCTGTCGGTCTCAGACCTGCCATTGACTTCAGACTGCCAAGAAGCAGGCTTTGGGTTAGTGGTGGAACTCCCTGTGGACTACGTCCACAGAGCTCTTAAGTAGCTGTGGCGGTGTGTACCGTTGAGTCAGGACCGACCTATATCTGACCCTCAGCACATGTTCAGAGGCTGTAACTGACACCGGAGGAGACTGCCCATCCTTCTCCCATATTGCAACTGGTAGACGTAGATCTTGTATTATTTCCAGCTTTCTGCCCCTTTCTTATGTCCACAGCAAGGCAGATGGGTTGAGAAAGGGCAGGATAGGAAATGGAAGCTGGACCTGAATTATCAGTTAGGCAAGGGAACTTCCAAAAGCTGACTGTATATGTACATGATCGGAAACTTTGGTTTTGGTTTCAGATTGTGAAGGAAGCCTACCCAGACCACACACAGTTTGAGAAAAACAATCCCCATTATGATCCATCCAGCAAAAAGGAGAACCCTAAATGGTCTATGGTAAAAACTAACTCTTCTTCTAATTTTGTGAGAGGAGAAAGATGAACAAAGAGAGGGAAGAAGAGGGTCTTGGGTGCCTCAGGTAAGGAAACCCCACTTGGGAGATTACAGTGAGTCCCAGCCCTGTTGTGGGAGCCTCCTGCAGGCAGTATGAACATGGAACAGGCAGTGTTTGGCTGAGCACATCTTTCTGTCTTACACATTGTTGTTATGCAGGTCGACGTACAGTTTGTACGAATGATGAAGCGTTTTATTCCCCTGGCTGAGCTCAAAACATACTACCAAGCTCACAAGACCACTGGTGGCCCTTTAAAAAACATGGCTCTCTTTACTTCCCAGAGACTCTCAGTTCAGCCCCTGACCCAAGGTAAGAGCAGGCCCACCCCACTCCTAAATAGCCCTGTGAATTTTCATTTACGAGTTAATTGGACTCAGATGGGTATTTAAACTTTGAGTCAAAATCCTTACCTGTAATATTCATAAAAAAATGACTGTACCTTGAGGTACCTATTACTTTAACACTGCTTAGGACATAGTAAGATACTCTTTGGGTATTAATGATAATAACTAACTTGCTTAAGAATTAGTGAGGATTTTATCTTAAGTAACATGTAAAGTATTTCAATGTGCCTGATATAATATCCCTGCTTAGACACAAGACCTAATTCTTCCTTCCTTTTTCACAATTTTGGCAGAAGAGTTTGATTTTATTTTGGAACTGGAGAAGAAGCAACCAACTTAACTGAACCTGAACACTACTGCTGGAATGGACAAGACATCTCTCCAAAGAAACCAGATTTTTATATGGAAAAAAAAAAGACACAATCTGTTTACCTGAGATTTTGTATAAAGGTGGTTTTGGTGTATTTCTCTCCTATTAAACAATATCAAAGTTGGAAAGCTTTTCTTTTAAAACAATACTGGGCACTGTTTTAGACTAAATTTTTTACCCTTAAGCTGGCTTTTTCTGCTTAGTGGCATCTTCCTTTACTGTAGCTAATCAGTGGCCTCCGCAAATGTAGGGGTAGAACCAAGTCCTGAACACCTCCTCAAACTTTTGTCTTTCTGCACTGGCCTTCATTCCCTTGTCCCTGAGGTATACTTTGTCCCTCCACATACTGAAACCATTAAACATGAATTCAGGGGTAAAACATGAATTCCTGTCCTCACTGAGACTTGCCTGAAGTGCTCTCCTTGTGTAGCAAAGGTTGTGTTGGTGTCACAGAGGGAGCCTGCCTGAGGCTGGACAGAACAAGACACGAGAGACCACAGGACCTGGTAATCTTTGGAGACAGACCTCCAAAGCCACAGGGCTTCTTTTAATCAGAGACATTAAAACAAGTTTTTTTGTTTGTTTTTTTTTTAAATACAGCCATTGAAAAGACAACACATTTAAGAAACGTGTAAACACTGCAGCTACTTAATTACAAGTTGCACTGCTTGGTTTAGTACCTGTGCAATCCCAGGTATGGGGACCTTTTAAGAAGGGGACCAGAGCCTCTCCTCCCTTTCACAGCTGGACAGAAGTAGGGAGTAGGGGTAGAGTAAAAACATGACCTGGCTGCACACAGCTCCCTGGAGACAAAAAGCAGAATCTCTTCCAGTCCCCTCAGGAAAACAAGGTTTGTGATGTTAAGAAACCCAGTAAAAGAATTTGTGTTGTCAGTTGGAGCACAGGAAGGGATAGATGCTTTCTAGTTAAAAGATTACCAACTTTAACAGGAGGCAAGCCAGAGCCTAATCTTTGCTCTGAAAAAGGCAAGGTGTACAGACCCTGCCTCCCTCGCGCGTAAACTCCAACCTTGAAAATCCAAGGGTAGCTGGATGGGTGATCCTCTTCCCATGGGGATTGTATATCACAGCTGAACTCAGGGCCCAGCACAGGGGAAATAACCTGACCTTCTTTGGTTCTGCCCCTTGTCATTCCAAATACTTTTCTTTCCAGCGTCAGCTCTGCTTTGTGTGCTTTGCCTAGCCAAAGGGCCAAAACTGCACTTATTTCTAAGGAAGAGATGACTCCTCATTTTCCACTCTAACTGAAAGATAACAAAGGGCCCAAACCTCCTACTTTCCAAATTTGAGAACTCAGATCACCAAATGCTGTACTTTGTCAGTGGTATCTGCTTGGTCTTCCTCTAAGGGAAAAGAAGGCTTTTAGGAGAGAGTTAATTCCTGGTGATTTCCAGATGAGGCAGGAGAGGAGTCACCTTTACAACAACAGGCCCAAGGACAGTGCAATGGAGGGAAAAACCGCATTCTCCCCTCACATAAAAATACCCACAAGGACTTTTGTATGTGTCCTTAAACAACGAAACTCCAGTGGTTCTAAATTCTGGTGCGTCAGCTGGTGAAGATGAAGACAATTTGGCAAGCAGAATTACTCTGAAATTGTGGTAGCAGAGTCTTCAGCTGAGGCCCTCCCTTCTTTGTAGGAACAGGTGTAGTGGAAACAATATTTCTAAAGTGTTTAAAACCATGCCTCATTTCCCAGAAAATGAAAAGGAAAGCGAGTAATGAGGATCTGCCCTTAGGGAAGCAAAGGAATCCAGACTCTTCCTCTGGCACTTCCTAAAATAGAGACTCTGTTGTCTTGTCCTTGTTGAGGCTAATGCCCTAAAACCAACCAAGGTGTCAAAGTTCAAAAATGGAATTCTGTGGTAAAGGCAGAGCTCCCATGTTTCTTCTCAGTGATTGTGGCACCTTTTTGTTTCCAATCCTGTGATCATCCATCACATTGACCCCAGGGCCAATCACAGGCAAAGGGACAATCTTGCCACGCACGGCCCTTCCATGGTCTTCCACCTAAATTATAACAAGAGCCCAGCAAAGAGGAGGGAAGTACTGCACTGAGAGAGGAGCTAGAAAGGAAGTAGCTTATGGGGACTTGAGAGCACTACATCCAAGACTCCCAAGGAGGTAGAACTCCTACCACGGTGGATGGTGCGGGCCACTTCCGAGCGCGCAGAGGGACCGCAGGATGTGATGATGCCCAGGGGCCTTTCTGACAACTCAGAATCTCAGGGACATGCTCAATTCCTGTGTCGGGAAGTAAAAGGCACAGGAACAAAGGTGTTCTACCAGATATGAGGTGGCCCAGGAGGCCTCAACGGAAGGCTCTTCTTCCCTTAGGAAAGACCAGCTGTCAAGATGCTACCTTTTTTTCTCTCTCCACCTCAGTGACAAGACTCCCAAGGAGACTGTCTCTTATCCAAGTTCCTTGGGTTCTTCAGAGAAAGGAATTGAAGTCATAAACATAATTTTTTTTTTCAGGTTGCAAGTAATGGGTCAGCTGAGCAGCACACCTCCTCCACCCCAGCCACCGGCGCCTGTCAGATGAGGGTGCCGGGGCAGAAGCTCAGCAGTGGTGCGGCTCAGGCCTCACTGCCTGCTATTGTTGTCAGACAGCTGGTTCGGGGTCCGCACCTCACCCAGCGAGGCTGTGCCTTCGAAGCGTTGAGAGGCGATGGCTGCCTGGTGGGACATACTCTTGCGCACGATGTCACCTTTCCTCCACAATACCACTTCCTGTAGAATTGGGAGAGGGGCAGCACAAGACTGTGAGAGGAGGTGATGGGGAGGAGTCTTCCCAGGTGCCCCCACTTTATTCTGGGGAGTCTTGGGCTCACTAAGGATAGAAGCTACTCATATCTCCTTGTCACAGGGCTCTTGTTGATGGTGTTATAGGAGGACAGGACAATTATAGGCTTAGGCCAGAGAAACAGACTTGGTGGCTTCTTGCTGTGGGACTCTGGGCGATATGGTGTTCACACCGCCTCGTGAAACAAGTGGCACAGAAGCCTGTGAGCCCTTTCCTAGGATTGTCATGTTATGTCTGCAGGAGTAGTACCTGGTCTTCCACAGGAGACATGCTTTTCCCTATTGCTTCCTATTGTATGCAGAGCCTGGGGAGTTACCTGCTGTTTGAAGTAGCGCCGTTCTTCCTCATCAATCAGCACCAGGTTGAGGTAATAACGCACGGAGAACTTCTTGTTGATGTCCCGCATGGTGGGGGTGAGCTCATAGCCTGCCAGGAAGAGCCGGATCGGGATGGACTCACCTGTCAGGGCAAAGGGGAGTGTCAGAGGCAGGGCTGAGGCATTCCTCTTGGGCTTCGTGCCAGGCTGCTGTCTGACTGCAGCAGGAATGCCCACTGAACACAGCACAGGAACCTAAAACAAAGGCTTTTTATACCACTGGATGCTAAAGGGAAAATATGACTCCATAACCCAGATTTCAGTGCCTTTACTAAATCCTTGAGTAGCTTAGACACACTATTAAGCATAATTTTATTATATGAATTTATGGGCTTTTAAGAGGCAGTTGTCAAAACCCGGTTTGATCACCATTGTCACCCAGCAGTTTCACTACTAACTCCCTCAAATACCACACAGTTCATGCCCCTCTAGAATACAATGGATTGGCATTCCAACATGGGTTATCACGAAGGTGCAGTGGCCTGGAGAACAGAATCTTTAGTCTGGCCCCACTTCTGTGTAAATCTGTTCCTTTCTCTGTACCTTCATTTTCTCATTTGGAAATCTGGCTGTAATATGCTAGGTCCTTCTTTAAAGCAGCTCTGGTGGTATACTGCATAATATCTCAAACTGCTAACCGAAAGCTCAGCAGTGCAGATCCACAGGCCGCTTGGTGGGAGTCTCCTCCCCTAAGATTTATAGCCTCAGAAACCCGAAACCCAATGAAAGGCTGTGATGAGTCAGCACTAAATCAGCGGCAGTGAGATTGGGGTTTTGTCCTGCTGTATTAATGCCTTTCCTAACATAGGTAGAAGGTAGAACAAAATTAGGTTAGTCATTCCACTGAGAAAAGTCAGGCTTGCAATGTAGTCTAAAGCGAAACAAATGGATTTTAAATAGCTTCTGTTTTGTTTATCATTTCTCACAGTGGCCCATTTCATATCTACAGAAAAACATCAGTTTTTTTTCTATACCGGTGGCAAAGGACTAAAACGTGTTAGGGATGATGGGGATGGTGCAGAGTGCAGGGTAAGAAAGAGTTTAGGTCTGTTGTCATGGGGTCAACATGAATCATGTGATTTGGCGGCACTTAACAACAACAAATACTTGGTTAGCTAGTGGGGAAAATGGCACTTTCGAGGCAATCAAGAAGGCTGCCCCAAGAATCTACTATCGGTGTCCTCTGTGTTACACGCTGCTCAAGCTATGTCATTTATGTCCTTCCAGACTGGGAGGAAACTGAATACAACCTTGGAAGTAGCAAGCAATTCACAGACTCTTCATCTGCTGCTGCCAGCTGTGATGGAGAACTCTTGTTCCTCTTAGATAAGTAGGAGCACACATAGTTTTCAACTCCCATCCCAGACAAAATGCTAGCTCCATTAGAGGAAGAGACTGTCTCGAAGTCCTGGAGCTTGCTTCAGTACCTTGTACTGCTAGCCGCAGCATACAGTAGTGCTTCTTCACAATTGGGGAATGGCCTGTTTGGCTAGGGCTGGTATTAACTGACAAGAGGGAAGAGCATGTGCTAATCTCTGGCTATCGAACAGCAAGGAATAGCAGAATGTCAAAGGGAGCCAAACAGCACAATGCTCAACCTGTCTGTCAAAAATTGTCTATGAATTTTTTTTTTACATTAAACATAAAACTCCTGAAATAATTTGGTAAGCCTAACCTATGTACTGGCTCTACAGAGAGCTGTTCTGGCGAAAAGGAGCCAGCCCTGACCCCTGACACTTTATGAACCCAGCCCTCCTTCCCCCGTTATGTATCTACTGGGATCCACAGTTACACTATAGCTGAGAGGAAAATCCAGCTTCAACAGTACAACCCTCCAAGCCCCTGTGAAGTTGTGGGGCAGGTCTGGGAGCCAGAAGTAAGGGCTGGGGCTTTCCCAGGTGTGGGGCCAGCTCACCTCTAACAGGAGCCCCATCCATGATCTCGTACTTGGCAATGGTGTCATTCTCGTGGTAAACGTTAGGGCCTGTCCCAGTTGTTTCTCGTTTAATGATGTCGATTTCCATGTGTTTAATCTTGATTCTCACTAGAAGGAAGTATATCTTCCCGACAATGACATCTTTCAAGTGGTATCTGGGGGGAGAGAAAGTGAAGGCACCAAGACATATTTAGGGGTCATTCTCAGCACCTTTATGGGCTGTTTTGGTTTCAGAAGTTATTGCTGTGTTTGTTGTAGCATCACGTTACCACCTTCCTGTATTTGCACTACTATTGCAGGAATTCCCACTATACTCTTACCTGAGTCACATAAATGTCTATTCCCCATCCTTCCATCCTATCCAACTCTAAATTTTTCCTTAAAGTTATTTCTCTTTAGGAAACATGTCTGCTCAATTAATCTGCCTCTTCAGGGATTTACAGGTAATAATAGCTTGTAAATAAATCACTGTTTCTATCTCTACTAATAAGTAATGATGACAAAATGGTTAAAGAATCTGGCTGCTAACCAAAAGGTATATGGTTCGAGTCCACGGAAAAAAGATAAGGCAACCTGTTTTTGTAAACTTTTGGTTTATAGCTGTATAAATCCCATGTTCAGGTCCTTTTTGTCCCATCAAGTAGTTAACTGACCCCTATAGTTTCCATTACTCTGTTTCCTGGATTCTGCTGGCCAGTGCTTACACCCTCCTGTAAACTGTAAGGAATTTAGCCATGTTAATAACCTCTCTTTCTTTTTTATGTTAACTTTTTTGTTGTTGTTGTTAACTTTTAAGTGTCAGTGGAACTTCCCAGATCATACTACTTTTTCATGAAGTCATTCATTATAGATTTGGTTTTTAAAATTAATATAAAAATAAATTTTATTAACATGGTCAATACCTTATCATATACTGTCTTTCTCTTCACCTGGCAAATTTTACTTTTTAACTCTTATCTCCCTCCCTTTTCATCCCTTGCAATTATCCAAGAGTGATTCTAATTCTTTCCTTAGCTTTTATAATAGTAATTTTCTCCCATAATAAGTCTGTTGATGGACATTTGGTTGCTTCAAGCTCTCTTCTATTATAATGGCTGCTGCAGAGAGTGGAAGCTCTTATTTAGGACACATATCTAATAGTGAGATTGCTGGATCAAGTGGTATTTAATTTCTCAACTTTCTAAGCAAGTGCCAAACTAGATCATGGTTGTACCACTGTACGCCAGCATGTAGAAGAGCTTCTGTCTCTCTACCCCTTTGCCAACATTTGTTTTTTGCTCTCTAAATGAACTGTTATTGTTGCTAGGAGGAGAGAAAAGCTCATTGTTTACATCTCTCCAAGAGCACTAATGACCTAGTGGTAAGGAGTTGCACTGCCAACCCAAAGACAGGCAATTCAAATCCACCTGCTGCACTTTGGGAAAAAGACAAGCAGTCAGTCTTCTCCTGTGCCATTTACAGTCTCTGCAAACCCACTGGAGGGTCAGTGATGAGTCTGTTCCAACTAGATAGCATATAGCAATAGCAATAGCTACGAGGGACCTTTGGGGTGGTTGAGTGGGTAAAGAGTTGTGCTGTGAAACCAGAAGCAAGTAGTTTAAATCCGTCAGCTGCTCTGAGAGAGAACGACAGGCAGTCTCCTCCCGTGTGATTTACAGCCATGAGAGTTTGAGGATAGCTAATGATCTTGAGCCTTTGTTCATGTGTCTTGGACATCTGAATGTCTTCTTTGGTGAAGTGTCATGTCCTGTGCTCATTTTGTAATTGCATTTGGTGTGTGTGTCCTTGTTAAGCTGTTGGAAGGTTTTTGTAAATTTTAGAAAGGAGTTATTGCCAAATATTTTTTTTTCCCAGTTCGAAGGATCTCTTTTTATTTTTTTGCAGAGGTCATCTGATGCATATAAGGATTTCATATTCAGGAAGTCCCAATCATCTAGCTTATTCTCTGCTGATTATGCAATTTCAGCTACACTTGACAAGTTATTTGTGCCATTGATTAGGGCTCCCAAGTTTGTCCCAATTGTTCCTTTGATGATCTTATAGTTCCAGATTTTACACCTAAGTCCTTGATCTCTCTTCACTTAGTTTTTATATGTGATCTGAGGTTTGGATCGCGATTCAGTTTGCTTTTTTACAAAAACATGCAGTTTTGCCAGCACCATTTGTTAAAGAGGCTGTCTTTTCCTCACGTAATGTATTTCACCTCTGTGTCAAAGATCAGCTATCCACAGGTGGCTGGATTTACTTTTGGGTTCTCAATTCTATTCTGCTGGCCTATGTACCTATTGCTATACTAGCTTCAAATTGTATTGATTACTGTGACTGTGTAGTAGGTGTTGAGATGAGGATTTGTGGGGCTTCCTGTATTTCTTCTTCATGATCACACTGCTTACCCAGTGTCTTCTTTCCTTTTGGTTTAAAGTTGGTGATTCTTTTTTTCAACTCTCTGTAGAATAACAATAGGATCTGAGCTAGGACTTTGGGAAAATAAAAGAAGAATAGATGCCTGAGCTAGGACTTCGGGGAAAATAAAAGAATAGATGCCTTCGAGTTGAGGTGCTGGAGATGTGTTTTAAACATATCATGTTTAAAAACAAATAGGTCTGTCTTGGAGAGGGTCAAACCAAGTCTCTCCTCCTATGCTAGGATTTTGAAGCTCTGCCTCACTTACTTTGGGCACGTGGCGAGGAGAAATCAGTCGTTAGAGAAGGACATCATGCTTGGAAGGGTGGACGAACAGTGCAGGAAGGGAAAGACTCCGGATAAGATGTATTGATACAGTAACTGGGCCGATGAGGGTTAGTGAGACTGGCTCAGGACAGGCTCAGAGCCTCTGTACACAGGGTTGCTATGCATTGCAGGCGACTCAACCAGTAACATTCTATGACAGGTTTGAAAGCAGGAGTTGCATCCACTTCCTTAACAACTTGCATCTGGAAACTCTATGAACTTTGTTAAATGTAGGTAGTTGTAGAGAGGCTTCAGGCCTTCTGTTCATAGGGTCCCTATGAGTCATGCTCAACTCGAAGGCAATCAACAACAACATATTCCAGCAAATCTTCAACTATTTTCTCTGTGCTTTTATTCTATCTTCCTGTTCTGGAGTTCTAATCACATGGAAGTTATTCCTCTTAATATTGGCCACCATTCTGCTCTTTCGTTCTTCT